AGGAATAACAAGTGTAATATCCAATAAAGCAAAGCTTAAGTATATAACACCAACAAGTCCTTGACCAGCTCCAACCACCTACGCTGCCTCATGTTCAGCTCCTTCTGAGTGAAGATGTACTTTAGGCTCTTGTGGTCGGTAAAGATCTCACACTTGCCTCCATAGAGGTAGTGCCGCCAAATCTTCAAGGCGTGGACAACAGCAGCTAACTCGAGATCATGAGTAGGGTAGTTCTGCTCGTGAGGCTTCAGCTGCCTCGAAGCATAGGCTACGACTTTCCCCTGCTGCATGAGAACACAACCTAGGCCCATCTTCGAAGCATCACTATAGATGGTGAACTCCAAAGTAGGGTCGGGTATGGATAGGACAGGCGCGGTAGTGAGTCTCCTCTTCAACTCCTAGAAACTCTCCTTGCACTGAGCACTCCAATCAAACCTCACAGCCTTCTTCGTAAGGTTGGTCTGCGGCTGGGCTATCTTCGAGAAGCCCTCGATGAACCTCCTGTAGTATCCTGCTAACCCCAGGAAACTACGAACATCCGCGACACTTCTTGGCGTATCCCACTTGCTCACCGCCTCGATCTTGCTGGGATCCACCTCAATGCCTCGAGCTGTCACAATGTGGCCAAGGAATGCCACGCGGTTAAGCCAGAATTCGCACTTCGAGAACTTAGCATACAACTTCTCGCGGTGAAGAGTCTCTAGCACAATCCTCAGATGCTCCTTGTGCTGCTCGATATGTCGGGAATAGACCAGAATGTCGTCGATGAACACAATGACGAATTGGTCTAGGAAAGGATGAAAGACCCTATTCATAAGGTCCATGAAGACGGCCGGGGCATTGCTGAGTCCGAAAGGCATGACTACGAACTCATAGTGGCCATAGCGAGTACGTAAAGCAGTCTTAGAAATGTCCGACTCTCGGATCTTCAGCTGATGATAGCCAGAACGCAAGTCAATCTTTGAGAAGACGCTGGCTCCCCTCAGCTGGTCGAAAAGGTCCTCGATACGGGGAAGGGGGTACTTGTTCTTGACTGTAAGGGCATTCAACTCCCGATAGTCAATACACATGCGCATAGATCCGTCTTTCTTCTTCACGAATAGGACGGGCGCACCCCACGGCGAGACACTCGGACGAATGAAACCGAGCTTGAGCAACTCCTGAATCTGGGCCTTGAGCTCTTGAAGCTCCTTCGGCGACATACGATAAGGGGCCTTAGAAACGGGGCCGGCTCCTGGAATGAGGTCAATAGTGAACTCCACCTGGCGGTCTGGCGGTCCTCCGGGCAAGTCATCAGGAAAGACGTCTAGGTACTCGCAAACAATAGATACTCGCTCGGGCACCCGCTCATCAATGACGCGGATACCATAGAAACAAGATAGCCTTGACAGCTACCCTTGGAAAGGCTCTTCCTAGCTTGCATAGAAGAGATGACCCGAGGCACAGTCCTCGAACTTACCCCAAAGAACACAACAGGCTGATCGGAAACAGGATAAAGGGTGACTTCGCGCTCCTGGCACCGGATATCGGCTTGGTAACGGGTGAGCCAGTCCATGCCCAAGATCACGTCGAAGTCTCGCATATCAATAACATACGCATCGGCCTCCAGAACTCGACCACCAATACAGATAGGAAGATTGCGAACTACTGAATTAGAAATAATAATTTTTCCCGAGGCTAAACTAACCTCGAGAAGATCACAAGCATGCACGGTGCTAACAGATAAGGCCTCCAAACAACGAGATGAGATAAACGAATGGGTAGCACCGGTATCACACAAAGCAAAAACAGGC